TGCTTTATTTTGTCCCTTACGTTGAGTCCTCTATTAATTTATTAATCTCTATTCTAATGCTAGTTGTCTCTCCCAGTATTTTGTGTGCTCTGATATTATTCACTTATATTCTCTCCTGGTTCTCACAACTCTGTTATGTTAGATTAAACCCTCCCCAAAAGCATTATCTAAACTTCCTGCAAGGAAATCTGTCACACCTCTTGTTCAGTTGCAATTAATCTGACTTGTGTAGGTGCCATTAGCCCTAGAGCCAGTCCCAGGGTGCCAGGATTTTGATGTCTTCCCTCCCACATCATCTTTTTCAGCCATACATTCATCTGCCTTATTCTCCTATTTCTGTCCTCATATATATGGCACTGGGAGTAATCTGGAGGTTACAACATTTGAGACCCTGCTTGCTCATTTTCTCCTTAGCTCCCTTAATTCTGTGTGCAGGGCCCCATCTCCCTTCCTATGTATATCATTGACACCAATATGAACCATGAGGTCTGGCTGATTATGGTCTTTCAGGAGAATATCCTACAGCCACTCTGTGACATTCTTGACTCCCTAAATCATGTCAAGTATGATAAGTTACATTGAAATGAGTAAGTAAGAAGTTGAAATGGTAAAAAAAAATGTTGACAGGAAGCATACACATTTATTTTGTAAGTTTAGCATTGTATAAAGTAAGGTTTCCCATATTGTTGGTGATAACCCCTAGTAGGGATTGTGGGATGAGATTTTGGGCATACAGGCAGCAATGCGATCATGGACTAAGTTTTGCTAAAATCTTGGACTGAGTTCACATTAAAGTTTGTGTTCTTTTTCTGGCAGTGGGTGTTATTTAATCAACTGTTCTCAGAGGCCTGATTGCTGCTACAACTCCAGTCTGTAAAATAAAAGGTGGGTCTTCATTTATTCAGGGCAATCCCAATAGTTTGCAAGTCCACTCTCAATTTTCATTCTGGGATTCACATGCAATCTGTGGCATAACGATGGAGTCACAATAGGAAAATGTTGGCGAAGCATTGGTATAGGGTGTGTCAGAGAATGTGGTCTCCCTTAACAACTGATTTAGAACTGATTTAAAACCTTTAAAAATAGTCTGACATTTATATAGCTTCTTTTGTACTTTAGGATATCGCAGTCAATGAAGTACCCTATAGGCAGAATGTTAAAGTTGCTGTGCTGGTAGCTCTTCAAGTCGGGGGTTGAGGGTGGTATTCCCATATAATTTCCTAGGTAGCCTACCCACTACTCTTCCAGACACCCTTGACCTGTCTACAATAACCCCAGCAGTCTGCAGTTTGTCCAATGGCTGCTTTCACTTATTGAGAACAAATCGATAACTGCATTAAGTGTGATGATTAATGGGGCTTTTAGACTGGAGTTGATCTCTATGGAGATAGTTATTGCCAAGTCAGGATGTAGTTTAAATGCAATTTGTGCCATTTGGAAATGGAATTCAGAAGCTGAATGTCAAAATGTAGCACATTATTGATTAAATAAGAATCATTTTTCAAAATATTTATGCCATCGGTTCACTTTTTGAAGATCCAGTAAAAGTTCAGTGAGGGATATTGATTTTCACATTTTTAATTTATATTCAAGAGCTGCATTAGCATTTTTTTCAGAGTCTAAATTATAAATTATATGCTCCTATGGGTTATTTGCATAATTGAAACACATGATAACATGTAAATCATTGCTGCAAGAATATTAAAGTACCAGACAATATTTATCAGTCAACTAACATCACCAAAGTAGGCTTTCTGGTCATTATCCTCTGACTGCTCATGGGGGCATACTCTTGGCAAATTGGTTGCTGTATTTCCTATATCCCAGCAGAGTTTGAACTTAAAAAGACAACTTTTAAATTTGCCATTGTACCATAATAGTTCATATCAATGCCAGAAATAGCATCCTATGTAACCGTGAAAAGGTTGACTACACCATTCCCTTTCTTCCTCATTGCTCAGCTGAGTTGAAATGCTCTAACTTGGTTCCATCCTTACTTATCCAATCATAATCATTGTACCACAGCAGTGGCTTCTCTTTCTGCTTCCATACCATTTCCTCTGGTCTCCAAAAATCATTCTCGACACCCTCCTGTTTCTATCTACATCTGCCTTTTGAAGTCATCATTCAAAAGCATAGCGTTAATTTCCACATGTACACTGATGATAACCAGCACTAACTGACTGCCACCACTCCCTGCACTTGTTTAATTCTGGCCTCGATTTTAATCATCATTAGTGTTAGTGTTAGTGATGTCTACTGCCCAGGTCCTAATATCTTTGTATCTCCACCTCATTTTCTTCCTGTAAGACTCTCGTTAAACCTTATCTCTTTGATGAAGCTTTTGGTCATCTGTGTGGCTTAATGTCATATTTTGGTTTGTAAAGCACCAGGAGACATTTTATTATGCTAAGGGATGTCCTGAGGTCAAAGAGTGACTATATACGTGCAAATTATTTCTTCTACTGTAAAGGCTGTGGATCTGCGATATTGTTGGTGTCAATTGCATCAAATCTGAAAAGTAATTGTGTTCAGTACATCAATAAACTGCAGTTGAATAGTTAATATTTTGGGTGATGCAATAACAGGAAATTTCAGGAACTCCTCTCCATTCCCCTCATGAGTTAATGTAACAGCATTTTTGGAGTAAGTTGTTGCTGGGGATTCTTCCAAGAATTCAGATTTTCTGAGAAAAACACAAGATTGTGGCACCATTCCTACATTGATTTTGGTTTTATTAATGTGATGATAACCTGGCAGCTACTTAATCTCCACCTAAGAAATGGACAACCACTAGGTCACTATATATGAGGAAGCCAGGCTTAAGTATGCTTTACAAATGTACATAAATAAAACATTCTGAACTGTAACACACATGCATTTGTATGATGATTCCCTATGGCATAATATGTAAGAAAATAAGATACACAGAAGATTAAGCACTTTAAGTTCCATTGTGATGGCCCAATTTTGTGGACAGTGAAAGATCCATTCAGCATTCACACTGCTTAATTTCTGTGAGTTTTTACATTACACATTGTGGCAAACAGGACAGCAACCTCTGCAGAGGATCTAGGCTCTAGACTGTATAAAATGGATCAGGCTGATTATGAAGCTATACTTATCCTGCTGCAGGAGGTCTTGAGAGGCAGTGGTTAGCATTCATTGCATCTGCTCCAGGAGCTCCCGGTTTGAGTCCACTTGAGGACTTTCTGACCAAGAAAGGTGTATTCCTGACACAAGCAACAGATTGAATATCAACCTGCAAATCCTCCCAACATACACCAATGACAGATGATAAAAGAGGGAGAGATTCCTTGTCAGCTACATGAGGTTGGAGGCTCTATTGTCACTATCCAGAGCCCCAGACTACGCATGCATGTAAAAATGTATGTTGCCATGGCAACACAGACTCCTGAATGACGTGTGATACACCATTTATGCTGATTCTATGTTGATGGATGAATATCTTCCTTGTAGGATTCTCAGAATAGTGACTAAGTGTGAGAAGTTGCTTCTCCTCAGTTCATTGGAGTGCAGCCAATCAGCTTTACGTGCTTCCTGGCCCCCATGATGGGCATGTTTTTGCAGGGGAAGAATGGAAACCTGCCTGCCATTTTTAACAGCTAACTGAGTTTGTCATCAAGTTGATTGACCTGAATATTGTGCTGCCCGTGCTTTAATGCATTTGATGTGGCAGGCATACGGGAGTGGGCAGGCTGCTGTTTTGAAAAAGTCAGGAAGGAAAGGGGATGCCCGTCTGGGGAGATCCCTGTGTACATTGGGGATACCCCTCGCAAGATTTTACCTCCACATTTTTTTCCTCCCAGTAAGACTTCCACCTGCTCTCTTCTCCCCAAAAACCCAACCTCAACCGCTCCCAGACTACCTGAGCCTTCACTGCCTTAAAAGCAAAGCACTTACCCAATTCTAAGAATAATCCAAGTTCTGTGTGGGCCTGCTTGCAGTCCCGGCAGTGCCCACTACCAAGGTGTGGCGCTGCTGGGAGCGTCAGAATTACCGGCCAATCAGATTGACTGGCAGCTCTTGAGGCAGGAACAGCCTCCCACTCAGGGACAGAAGTTCCAGGTTTAGCCTGTGGCTTGGAAGTACAGATCAGTCAGAAAAACTGGATGAGCAGAATTGCTGTCTATGGTTGATAGTTGGAAAACAAAGTTATTTCAAATTCTTCCAATGTTTTAATCGGTACATTGACCACACGATGTAGACCACATGATTGGCTGCACTCCAATGAACTGAGGAGAAGAAAATTCTCACACTTGGTCACTATTCTGAGAATCCTGCAAGGAAGATATTCATCCATCAACATAGAATCAGCATAAATGGTGTACCACAGGTCATTCAGGAGTCTGTGTTGCCATAGCAACATACACAATCTGGCTGTGTGGTGGTCTTCTTTTAGCCACATCAGCTGCAAACTGATTCCATGCAGTAGAGTGGGGGTGAGGTGTAGCAAGAAATACAATGGCTCCCCCGCATAGAACATCTGAAACCAGGCAACTCACTAAAAACCCAGGGTCAAACATGAATAAATCAGTAGTACATCATGTGGTCAATGTACCCGTTAAAACATTGGAAGAATCTGAATTAACTTTGTTTTCCAATTATCAATCATAGAGAGTAATTTCTGCTCATCCAGTTGTTCAGACAGATCTGTACTTCCAAACAATAGGTGTCTTTAGTTGAATTTCTTGTTAAACCTTTCATTTAATTATGCATTTTGGATCTTTCTGCTTTAGAAATTACTTTTTGAATGTAACATTAACACAAGCACTTACATGAGCTGCTTAAGAACTTTAATATTGAAATGGTTTAAGAACCTTTAATCATCTTCAATGAAAACATGGAACTACATAGCTTCTTGTTTAATGAAACTCCTAATTGGAAGTCATTATTAATAATGGGGGCTGGATAATGGATTTATTGACTCTGTCTATGTTTGCAGTCTGTGCAATTCTGAGGGTTGTCCTATGTTCCAGTTCCAGATGCGCCAGTTATCGACCTGACACAAAGCCGGTTGTATGATGAGGGAACCATCAGCTGGCAACAACCCAGTGGCACTCCTCCTGTTGACCACTACAAGCTTGAATATAGGAGACTCGACCAAGATGGAGACTGTGCCTGGGAGTCCACTGAAGATGTGTGTGGCACAAGTAAAGTCATCTCAAATCTTGACACCAATACGAGCTACATCTTCAGAGTGAAGGGCTGCAAGAATTCCATCTACAGTGACTACAGCAAGCAGGTAGTTCTCCATACACCGCCTGCTCCAGGTAATCCCTTTGGAAGAACAAGAGTTATACTGTGTTGTAATTAAAGTTAATCCTTTTCAAGTAGTAAATAACCACTACTAAAACTGGCTGATCAGGCTGGAAGTACCCAGAGGAGCATAATTTGAGTGACAAACAATCCTCAGTGGTTTAGAATTTTCTTGACAGTGGAACCAGAAACTTTGTGCTTTGCATATTACCTCAGGATTTTTTTAAAGTCACACTGATGTTCTTTTAATTATGGGTTAGCTAATGTAATGAAGTAAAGTATAGATGTTTCTCTTTGTACCAAAAGAAAGCCAGTTAAAAGAAAATATGCACAAGAAATTACCTAGAATTTGCATTGTACTTATAAACAACTTTGAAGTAATAGTTTTGAAGATTTTGTATAAGGTTTTGGAATCAGAATGAGCAAATTTAATCTAAGGTATCCATTTTCCATCACTTGCTTTGCCCAGTGAAATAGGAACACATTTGTACAACAGGGTGAGCCTTTAGCTTAGAGGTGGCTTCTTGAATCAGAAGGTGAAGAAATTCAAGCTTCAATCCAGACAGTCTGGTAAATAGCTACTAGACTGTGGTCTGAAATACTGGTTGATATCCACTGGTTTACTTGTGCCTGGATTGATTGAGCACTGGTCCTGTGGAGGTGCTCCTGGCTCTGAGTCAGAAGGATTGGGTTTGGGCTTCACCCCACACAGAATTGAAGAGATTGTGAATGGGATTAGCATCCAATGTGGACACACATACTTCGTAACTGCAAAGAGGTAGGTCTCTCTTTTCTGCTTGATGCAGGGAAGAGCATCATGGGAGGAGGGGGTTGCAGATGTTGAAAATTAAGGGACCAGGAATTGGTTTTCAGAGGCCACTCACTTGGTTCCCCCACTTCTGTGAATCCGATTGACCCCAAATTGAAGCCATTTGAGACTCTGCCTTCTTAATCATGTCCCTCAGCTGAAGCATGGTGAACCTGAGGTTAAACTCACCACTAGCCAACTCTCAGTAATGAAGGAACAGTTTATGGTCCTCTGGGACTATGGTGACTTTCATTTAGAATCCCTACAGTGTAGACAGAGGCCATTTGGCCCATCACATCTGCACCAACCCTCTGAAGATCATCCCACCCAGACTCACACCAACCACCCCCCACCTCCTCTGTAACACTACATTCCCCATGGCTAATCCACCTAGCCTACACATCCCTGGACACTACAGGGCAATTTATCAGGGCCTATCCACCTGAGCTGCTCATCCTTGGACTGTGGGAGGAAACTGGAGCACCCAGCAGAAAGCCATTAGACATGGGGAGAGCATGCAAACTCTACAAAGACAGTCACCCAAGGCTGGAAATGGACCCATGCCCATGGTGCTGGGAGGCAGCAGTGCTATCCACTGAGACACCATGCCACCTAAACTTCACTTTCAGACTGAAGAGAAAATCTGTAAAGAAGTCAACACTGCTCCCCAGACTGTGACACAAGGGTCTCACATTACGAGATGTAAATTAGTTCCAACCCTTGGGCAGAAAACCACAGCTCTTTATTTTATGTTCTAATTCTGGACAATCTGTCATGAATTTTATGGGTGTGTTGTTGAAGTAATAAATCTTTTGTTGCCTGATACCAAGACATTTCATAATATTTTCATATGTACATTAAATATGTTTCCATTATGATTGAAAATTTTTACTCTGTATGCATTGAATTGTTTTTTATTTCCTATTTTAATTAATGAAGAAAATGAATAGATTTTGGATTCAGTACAATTCCAAAATTCTAGAATCTTTGTAAGTTAAATATTGCAACAGATGTTTTAGTGGTTGACTGAAAAAGTTCAACTCTAAGCATTGTAATTTACTAAGGATGGGCTTTTATGTCCCCTTCCCAAATTCCACTGAGGAATTTGTAAATGGAGAAGATGTAAAATTCTTTGTTTTCTTTTAAATCTTGCTACCACCCTGGATTTAATTTGCAGAGGTTGTGGTAAGTGAGGTCCATTTCCCCTCAATTGAAGCTCTTACGTGGCCACTTCCACCCAGTACAGGCCCTTTCTGGGTATCTTGTTGGAATGACTGTCTTGTGGGGCCCCTTTTGCCCAACTGGGGCATCCTACACATGTATCCTCATGCTCTGACCATTGCAGCACATTGCTCGACCCACATTGTTCCTCACCACCAAGGGACTGATTTCCTGGCCTCACTGAATTCCATGGAATTGATGCAGTCCTAGCAATGTCAACAAAACTCAATGTTGGGACTGAAGAGCAGCCAATTACTCACTGAGCTGGAACAAACACGAATGAAAGACACTCCCAGAGGCAATTTGCACTCTTTAATGTATTAACTAGCAGCAAGGCAACCATCAAGAATAGGGTTGTGCTCCTTGCCAGCTCTTTCATTGATAAGACAGGATATACCACCATTTGAAAAATAAGCTTTCCTTAATTATTAAAAACTAACTGACGTTCAGTTTTCGTTAATTTACAGGTAATTACAAGATTGTTGGGCCTCTTAGTTCTCAGAATTATTTAAATTTAGAAATGTATTAAATTAGAAAGAATCTCTTTATTTTTAGGCAAGACTTTAGAATCTGGTTGACAATACATAATTGGTAGATGCTTTATATCCGTTTTCCAATATTTTGCAATTGGTCAGTAAGAATGAACCCTAGTATCAAGTTCTTTTAAAATGATGCTAACTTGCATTAACAAGTTTGCTGATGTGTGTGTAGAATGGATTTAATCACACATGTTTAAAATGATCTTCAATTAATTGCCTCAACTCATGCTGTGTCCATGCAAGCAGCTTGTGTTTGTGATGAATCATCTTGACGATGAGTGAAGTCTATAGCAGTGGAATCCGAGGTTTGAACCTGAATTTTCAGCTACAGGTCTGATTTGACCCAGAGATGTGTTTTCAAAACACATATCCACTTTATTGCCTTTTTTGCACTGCCTCAGCCCAACCAGTGCTGAAAATCTTTATTACTTTTAGACATAACTAGATCATTGTTCTCCTCAGTGTCTCCCACCTTGCAACCTTTGTAAATCTGATTCTTTTCCAAAGCTTTGCTGCTATGTTCTGGTTCACACCTTGTCCCATTCATCCATCACCCCTGTGTTAACCAACCTACGTTCGTTCCTGGTGTTGCAGTGTCTTGGCTTTCAATTTTCATCTTGATTTCAAATCACTTCATGGTCTTATTCCTCATGCTACCTGCTTTCTGTGAAATCCTTCAGTGCTACAACTGTCCAATATACCCGTTGTCTAATTTTGGTCTCTTATACATCCCCCGATTTCATTGGGTTTAATTGATGATTGTTGCCTACTCATTTAAGACTACATTATTTTACCACTTGGAGTCCTTGAAAAGGCTTATATTGTGGAATTCGATCCGTAAGCTTCTCTACAACTGACTCTGTATACGACACTCCTAAGAAATTTAAGACATTGAGCGGAGTTGGTAACCTTGTGGTCTTGTCAATGGGCTAGTAATCCAGGGGACCAGGCTAATGTTCTGGTGACATTGGTTTGAATCCCAACGTGGCTGGTGGTGAAATTTGAATTCAATTAAAAAAGATTCTGGAATGAAAGCTAGCCTAATGGTGATTATGTAACTATTGTCGATTGTCATAAAAAACCCATTTGATTCATTAATGTTCTTCAGACAAACAAATCAGCCACCTTTATCTGCTCTGGCCCAAATGTGCCTCCAGATGCGCAGCCATGTGGCTGACTCTTAACTGCCCTTGGACTGATTAGGGGTAGGTGATACATGCTGGCCTAGCTGGTCCATAGGTAGACCCACAACGTGAGACTATTCTCCAACTGTCTTCAATTCACTTGCTTTGGCTCAAATCTAGAAACCTCCCTGTCTTTCAAGAATTATATATTTTAGAAATAGATTAACTGTTACTTGGAGATGAATAGATTAATCAGGGGTAGTCAGCATGGTTTTGATAAGGAAAAGGTTATGTTTTACTGACTTAATCGATTTTTACGAGAAAGTAACAAGGAGGTTAGTGCAGTGGATGTTGTCTACATGGATTTTAGTAAACTAATTGACAAGGTCCCCCATGGCAGACTGCTAAGAAAAATTAAAGCCCATGGGATGCAGGCAAAAGTGGAGTTGGATTTTAAATTGGGTTGTTGACAGGAGATAAAGGATAATGGTCATTAGACATTTATACAAATAGAAACCTGCTTCCAATAATGCCCTACAGGGCTCAGTTTTGGTCACTTGCTCTTTGTGGTATGTATTTAGATGTAGACTGAAATGTGAGATGCATGATTGGGAAACTTGCAGATGACACAAAAATTGGATGGGAGCCTGATGATGAAGAGGATAGATGTCGACTGCGGGAAGATATCAATAGTTTTGTTCAGTGGGCAGGAAAGTGGTAAATTGAACTCAATCTGGAGAAATGTGAAGTTTTGTGTTTATAGAGGGCAAACTAAGCAAGGGAATGCAGAATAAATGCAGGGGTATTGAGAGTGTTAGAGGAGGCGAGAGCTCTTGGAGTGCATGTCTACAGGTCCCTGAAGGAGGCAGGACAGGTAGATGAGTTGGTGAAGAAGGCACCTGGGATGCTTTCCTTCATTGTGTTTGGTGCTGGCTATAATAGCAGGGAAGTAATGCTGGAACTATATAAGACATTTGTCAGGCCACAGCTGGAATTTTGTTAACAATACTGGTTTACATGTTGTAGGAGGGGCATCATTTCTTTAGTGGGAGAATTACAAGAATATTTCCAGGACTGAAAATTACAAGTATGAGGAAAGATTAGCTCAGCTAGGCTTGCTTTTCTTAAAACATAAGAAGCTGAGGGTTAATTAATTGAGGTGTACAAATAATGAGGGGCTTGTTTAGAGTGGACAAAGAAAACCTGTTTCCCCTCTCGGAGAGGTCAGGTACTAGGGGAAGCAGGTTGAAGGTGATTGGTAAAAGTATTACTGAGGAAATGAGGAAAAGTTTCTTCACTGAGGGGTTGATTGCTGCCTGAAA